CTCAACTCTCACCATTTGATCACACAACGTGACAACATCCACGCGAGAGCCCCCGAAACGTGCGTGAATCCGCGCGGATATATGACGTCAGGATGGCGCAATTTGTTCTAAAAATAGAAAAATTGTCCCATATCATAGGTGCGCGCGAATCCCGAGACTTACGGTCTCCGTCCCCGATTATGGCTCCTGGTCATGGATTATTCACTCATGGGCTCAGAACTCTTTTAACTTCATTTGATTGGGTCACTTAACGTGTCTTATCAACATTCAACTGAATTATAGAATTTGCATCGAGTTTATAAGTGAGCCAGTTGTGAATCGTTTTGGCCGTGAATTTTGCTCTCGTCGAAAGTTTTACTGCTACTTTTGAAAATGTCCCCATCACCATGTACTCAATTGTGCTATGTCGTTTTACGACGTGATAAGCTGCAGTATTATGCGATACAATTTACGCTAGACGAGCTCATCAAAAGAGTATTTTTCTATATTTTTTTTTTAGTCCATCAATTCTTAGAATCCCAAACAAAATTCCCAGAAAATCAGTCTCGTGCACTTTGACCGTCTGGAAGGAAGTTAAATTTGATTGCTTTCAATGTCCAGCAATACGCTCTAGGACTTGATCACGTACACACCGGAGACTCCCGTACTTCCTCTAGAGTTTTGCTTCTGATAACAGTCAGTCGGTAACGTTTTATGTATTTCGGTATTTTGTTTGTCGTGGCGTGATTCCTTTATTTTTTTCTGATTTATTCTTGGTGACCGTATATAAAAGGTAGTTGTAGTACGGTGGCTCGACGGTGGGTTTTAAGATTATGATTATGTATGAAAATATCTGCCATCAAATTTTGATGCGATCCATCTGCTCTGTTTATTCAATTTCACTAGATAGTTTTTACCTACTCAGTCACGTTCTTATGGGCCGTCACGCAATCTTTGTTTCGTTGGGGAGGTTTCAGCAATCACCACAAGGAAGCTCGAGCTAATTGCTTAGCAACACGCCGTGTCATTACGAGCGCACATTGAGGGATTGAGGACTGGGCTGACCGGCTATGAAGAGCCTTGCAAAGATAAAAAATGCTTTTGTATTCTAATAGTTTAATTCATATAAGTGCATTAGCAAAGCACAACTTAAAATCATGCACATAAAATTGTAATTGCTATAATACCTATAATTTCGATAATTCAGGAGAAAACCTGCTTATCTGCACGTGCTAAAACAAGGAAGTCAAAATACACCACGCGACTCACGCGACCAGCAACAATTGCGCGCGAGCAACGCGTAATTCGCATTCAGTATTCAGAGGAAATGATCAGCGACGGACTGCGCAAATAAAGACCAATAACTGAAATATGTAAATCGGGCACGTCTAAAGAACCTTATTACTATCAACCAAAAAAACATTCATGGCCAAAGATCGAGGAGAATAGTCTCGTTTCAGTGACACTTAATTTGAGTCAATAAATCCCAGTTTTAAATGAAGACTGAAATGCTTCGGAGTCAGAGTTCAAATATAAAAAGTAGCGCCAACTGGGAGCAAATGTTTAAAAATGCTTTACTAACAATACCATTTCGTTTTCCTTGTATTGACGAATGTTTGTAGAAAACACTTTCACACTGTGTTAACCTATTGTTTTGCTATAATTTGCAAATGAACTATGTACACCGTTGCTAGTGCCGCGTGCAGCACTCTCTTGAACATTTGTTTGTAAGTATCGAGTGAATGTAAAATGTTTGGGATAATCTGGGATCATAACATGAAAACGTAAGTCGACTTGTTTTTCTTGTAGTTTTGGAAATTTTCATCTCTGGTCTGTTAACTCGTAATGTGGAACGCACTACTGAGTAATTGTTAACAGTGGCTGAAAGTAAATGAAATAAATATGGAATTATCCAGAGAAATTTTGGAGAGAACATCCTGTGGCGTAGACGAATGTGCGACATACTGTAGTGGATTAGTCTGAGTAGCGTGACGCAGGCTATGTCATGCAACAAGGAATAGCTTTGGTATTGAATCTTGTGTTTACGAGAACAGCACCTTGAGACTGACGAATTTTAGTACAGAAGATTGATTGAATTTGGAACTTACGGAGATCTTACGAGTGTAAATGACGGATCGCGAAGAAACGCAAGGAAACAGAAAGATACACTTCTCTCGATTGTTAAACGAACGGAATGCGGAAATTTTCCATAATATTCCTTCATTTGTCACGTCCTATGCAAAATGCGGAAATATAATGCTAAACCACTCGCTCCTTACTACATCCGTTGCTGCTGAACTCTGTAATATATGTTCCTTATTACAATTCAACCGCAGTGTTATTTTCATCACTTCCCGAGGGTCTCGTTTAGTGTAGCATGTAAAGAGTCCAAACAATTTTTTGTGACACTACAGCCGCAAGATTTATTCGCGTTCTGTCATGGAAAGCGATTCAAGACAACCAGGGTATGTACAGTTTTTGTCATGATGATTTCTAAGTATGAAACTTCAAACATCCCTAAAGAAACTTTCGCTCCCTTTGATGGAGGAGGAACACATTCGCTAAAAGAGTTCCACTTTATTGATCACATTGCCANTATTGTTTTGCTATAATTTGCAAGTGAACTATGTACACCGTTGCTAGTGCCGCGTGCAGCACTCTCTTGAACATTTGTTTTTAGGTATCGAGTGAATGTAAAATGTTTGGGATAATCTGGCATCATAACATGAAAACGTAAGTCGACTTATTTTTTTCTTGTAGTTTTGGAAATTTTTATCTCTGGTCTGTTAACTCGTGATGTGGAACGCGCTACTGAGTAATTGTTAACAGTGGCTAATAGTAAATAAAATAAATATGGAATTATCCGGAGAAATTTTGAGAGAACATCCTGTGGCGTAGATGAACGTGCGACATACTGCAGTGGATTAGTTTGAGTAGCGTGACGCAGGCTATGTCACGCAACAAGGAATAGCTTGGGTTTGAATCTTGTATTTACGAGAACAGTACCTTGAGACTGACGAATTTTAGTATAGAAGATTGATTGAATTTGGAACTCACGGAGATCTTACAAGTGTAAATGACGGATCGTGAAGAAACGCAAGGAAACAGAAAGATACACTTCTCTTAATTGTTAAACGAACGAAATGCGGAAATTTTCCTTAATATTCCTTCATTTGTCACGTCCTGTGCAAGATGCGGAAATATAATGCTAAACCTCTCACTCCGTTGCTGCTGAACTCTGTAATATATGTTCCTTGTTACAATTCAACCGCAGTGTTATTTTCATCACTCCCCGAGGGTCTCGTTTAGTGTAGCATGTAAAGAGTCCAAACAATTTTTTGTGACACTACAGCCGCAAGATTTATTCGCGTTAGAAGTATAGGGGGAGTCAGACAAATACCGTTTCGCAGAGGGAGAAGAATTTCCCGGTTTTACAACTCCCAGGTTCAAAACCGAAGCTCGCAAGCTCGCTTCGGTTGAAGTTGAGGTTGCAAAACCGGGAAATGCTGGGTCCCTCTGCGAAACAGTATTTGTCTGACTCCCCCTATACTACTAAGGTGAAGGGGGGAAGGGGAGGGATTGCTATTGGATAGAAACGACCCCGCTGTTATACCGCCCGAACACCGGCAATGTTTCGAGGAACAAACAAGTGTGCGTGGTTGATGCGTAGCAAATGTCAACTTTCCGAGGCCATTCAAAACCTCCCTCTAGAGCTTCGTGAGACAATTTACAAGGAGTATCTCACAATAAAAATGAGAGAAAGAAAGGCAATGGGCTGGGATGAGGTACATGACGAGATTGAAGAGGCGCCCTTCTGTGAAAAACGCTCAAGAATTGTTAAGGTCATGTTTTGTCGGAAATGCAACTGCTGTAGCCTGAACGGACTCGGTTTCGAGTGTTATAAAAATGGAGAAAAACACTTTCTCGGCTACCCCATATATGATGAGAACGACTACGCCGAAATCTTTAAGAAATTTTACTGAGCGGCGACGATATTAACCTTCGTTCGAAGCAAAAGTTTTGTTTTGAAATCTGCGAGTTGCGTGACATTTTTCTCAGAAAGACTGGAACCAAATATGTCCCAGGCCCTTGGACGAGCAGTACTGAAAAACATGGAGGACAACTCAAGAGTTTTTTTGTTTGGGCCGAAAAAAACGAACCAGAACAGAATTTACAAAAAAAAATACGCTCAGTCAACGCGCTGTAAGTTATTTTTTCACCACAGAAGCTGCCGAAGTGAAGCGAGCAGGAGGAAACGAGAAAATAGCAAGATTTGATCACAGCATTCGATCGATCGTAACATGAAATATTCCTTGAACAAGGGGCTCAATCGAGCCCGTTTAAGTTTTCTCTTTCTCGGCTTTGCTGTTCATGGCTTGGCGGTAAAGTTAACGCTGCTTCTTAAAATATTCTTCGAACTAAAAGGCAACAACGGCAAGAATAAGCAGCCAGGTGTGCTCGGCCAGAATCCCGATGACTTGACCCGCAGCTTTGAATAGAAAGCTCACAGTCGAGCCAATCAGCCCGCGCAGAATAGAAGCAAGTTTCGCGCCAATATCTTTTAGGTCTTTCCCCAAAGTCTTGCCGGTGGCTTTCAAACCTCTGGTGAGGGTCCCGATGACAGCTCCGATTGTGGTCCCTGTAGCAATAAATATTGCTGTTACCGTCCCATATTTTTTGAAGATACCTTTCACTCTTTCCAAAAGAGGCTTCTCTCCACCCACTTCTTCAAGCCGAGCCGTTATCGACCTAATCTCTTCATTACGTGTCTCTATTCTCCCCCGCGCGGCCTCCTTTTCTCCAGGTGTGGCATTTTCATCTTTTAAAATCTGCGTATCTTCTTTATTATCTTTTTCCAGCTCTTCTCTGTCCATTTATTTCTTTTTCCAAGGCAGCACTTTTCACGCCAAGTTTTGTTTGGAAAACTTTTTCTTCTTCGGTTATTTTTGCATAACTTTCTTGAAGCTCCGCAAGTTTGTTTTTTGCCCCTTCTNGGCGGCTTTGAATAGAAAGCTCACAATCGAGCCAATCAGCCCGGGCAGAATAGAAGCAAGTTTCGCGCCATTATCTTTTAGGTCTTTCCCCAAAGCCTTGCCGGTGGCTTTCAAACCTCTGGTGAGGACCCCGATGACAGCTCCGATTGTGGTCCCGGCAGCAAGGAATATTGCTGTTACCGTCACCCCATATTTTTTGAAGAAGTCTTTCACTCTTTCCAAAAGAGGCTTCTCACCACCCACTTCTTCAAGCCGAGCCGTTATCGACCTAATCTCCTCATTACGTGTCTCTATTCTCCTCCGCGCGGCCTCTTTTTCTTCAGGCGTGGCATTTTCATCTTTCAAAATCTTCGTATCTTCTTTATTATCTTTTTCCAGCTCTTCTCTGTCCATTTGTAGATTTTTTATTTCTTTTTCCAAGGCAGCACTTTTCACGCCAAGTTTTGTTTGGAAAACTTTTTCTTCTTCGGTTATTTTTGCATAACTTTCTGGAAGCTCCGCAAGTTTGTTTTTTGCCCCTTCTATTAGTTCAGGCGGCGCATCAGGGTCTAAAGCCTTGTTTCTGTCAAGCCTGATTCGCCAGCCCAGCGCCTCTTTTCGTTTTCTTATTGCTTTGAGAGCTTCACTCGCATTTTCTTCTTCTTCTTCGTCAAAATCTGCAGCTTCTGAATCTTCGATCGACTGAATATCTCTCTCCGCTTGTTGCTCTGCGAACCTTTGAATATGTTTTTCACTAAGTTAAACCTTTTGATGTTCTGTTTNGCTAAAAGAGTTCCACTTTATTGATCACATTGCCAACAAGGTCAAAAACCAATATATTCAAAAGCCAATTTACTCCGGTTTTTTGCCGTTTAAAAATAATCACTGTTTCAATTTCACTTCGGATTTCCTTCCGCTGCAGATCTAAGCTGTATATTTCAAGGAACACCTTGGTGAAGTTGTACTGGGATTTTTTTTTTGTAACAAGAATTTCGATCTAACTATCAACAGTACCACATTTTAATGGACATTTTTCTCAGTCCTGGGTTGCATTTCGTCAATTATAGAGCTACAAGTTGTTGATCACGCGGTGAAGAAATCACTGATTTGTTTCAAAGTTTATTCACGTTCCAGCCCTCAGAATTTCTAACTTGATTTGAATGGGTCGCTTAACTCGTCTTAATTAATATTTTACTGAGATACAAAAGTGACATTTGCTTCTGCAGTAGAAAGGTTGAGATTCGTTTAGCAAATGAAATCTCCAGTCGTCAAACGTTTCACTGATATTTGCGACTTGAAACTTCCTCCATCACCATTAGTTTTAGTACATGACAAAGTCATTATTATGTTGTATAGCTTTATTCTAGAAAAGAGCCGCTCAATTCTTAGAATCCCAGGCAAAATTCTTGGAAAATGGCCTTGCGGCCTTTGACCGTCTGGCTGCAGGCATATCAAATCATGTCAAATATAAAGGGGGAAATTTTGATTGGTTTCTTTGGCTTTTTTAAGAAACGCTCTAGGACTTGATCACATGTGCACTCGATCATGTGCACACTGGAGACCGATCACGTGCTTCCTTTAGCCTGTTTACGGGTGAACCAATAGACTTTTGAGAAGGGAGAGGGGTAATGTGTACACACACACACACACACACACAAAAAAAAAATACGCACAGGACTACTGCGGAAAATATTAAAATTTACGCACGCTCAGTGAGCCGAAAAATAATGTTACATATCATGCATACTGACACGTCCCGGGAGAAAAAAAAAAAACATTCTTAGTGCATGAAAGGGTTAAAACAAATATTCGTTTCTGTACCAAATCACCCACCCCCTCTCAAAAGTCAAATAGTCCATACCCTTAGCTTCTGATAGGGAGTCAGTCAGTAACGCTTATATATTCTCTTATTTTGTTTATCTTTCCTAGGCCAGGCCATGGACGATTTTATACAAGGTGACCACAAAAAGTAAGGAAGCTGAGATTAAAGTTTATTTATTGCAACAAAAGGACTTTTTATTAATATTTGCCTTCAAATTTTGATATCAGCTATCTGCTCTCTTTGATCAATTTCACTGAATTGCTGTCGATTAACTTTTACCTACTCATTTTTTGTGTATTGCTCAATTTTCATTCAATGCCAGTAACTGTTCGCGCAACTTGTTTCTGCGCATCCTGCCTGAGCATGCTACGCCACAACCATCGCGCGCGTAAATTGAGGAATAAAATGAACAAAAGTGCTAATGAGGATGTTTAGTGACCCCCGTTTTCGTTTTGATCGTGATCACTTTCGATTCTCTACCGTTGTTCTACGTTTTGCGTAAAAATGAAATTGAACCGAAGATTTTGACAATTTTGCCCCACGCGCCATTGACATTCGCTCTTTTGAGCTCTTTATTTATCGACACGACGGTTTCAACTGTCTCTTTACGGGTTGATTTATATAGAAATGATTGCAACATCTGGATTTATGAACGCCAAAGAACCACTTAGAAAAATACAGCAAACAGGTTTTGCCTCCTTCAACTCAACGTCAATCTTGTTAAATAGCCCTGTGGGCTAACATTTCAAGATCAGGGTACTTTTTCACTCCTAAAATTCTGCACTATCTAAAAAAATAACACGATCTGTCATTGAAGAAAAATATTTATATCAGAGGATTTTCGCGCGAACGTCCCAAGAACCGCCTTCTATCGCGAGGCAGGAATGGTCAATAAAAACTCCGATATTTGCAATTGTATATGGGACCGTTATTTCAAAAACTCTGCGGTTTAATTTCACACCTATATACGAGTTCAGGAACATGCTATCATTCAAAAGGCATATTTCGTCTTCAAGCTATTCGGGAATTTTTAGAGCGGGGAAGAGTATTCGGAACGAACTTCGCATTTACTATAAAATGATATTACTACGGTGCAGTTACACGTGGCAAGGGTATTTATTTGCAGAAAAATTAACAAAACTACTTACCGTCTTCTCGGCTGCCTGGAATGGCGAGTTAATTCGGCGGGAGCTTCTAGCTCGGCCATCGCAGAACACGAGTTGTTCCAGAAAAAGCCAGAACCTCTTTCAACTAGAGGCTATCAACTCGCGATGTTCACTGTAAACCGATTCCTAGCTCATTCTGATGGGTGGATCATCTCTCGTCACCTTTATACCTGGCCCTAACAACACTGTTTTGTGTGGTTTCAGCACTACAGGAAGAATAATATTACCGTTTCAGCACAGAGGAACACATACTTTGGGTAACCAAATATTATCAAGTAATTCCTAAACGCTAGAAACTGTCAATAAACTGTCAATAGAGGGCTCAAGCATGACGGTTACGGCAAATGGCAAACGGCAAAAATGAAACTTTTGCCGTCTCTCTTCAGCTGTGTGTACAATAGAGTAAAAATTATTTGTATTTGCAATGAATAGTAAGAGACGTTATTCCATTTTTGTGTGCTTTATTTACGGATTAGAAGAAAAAACTCAAAATCAGAAGTTATCTTTGCCGTTTACGGTCTGCCGTTAACGTCATGCTTAACCTCTCTAATGTTTTTGCCGTGACGACTGAGTTTAGCCGAGTGTATAGTAAAAACTGAACAAGAACCGTTCCAACTGGTAATGTGAAAAACAACTTATTTAATTTGTTCATCTGATAGGCAAAACATCGTGGGAAATTGTACGCTAACCTTGGGCCATTTATGGATTCCGGCGCTTAATTTAACAATAGAGCTCATTGCCGCGTAAAACCAAAATAACTGAAAGAAATAAATTATCTTCAGCATCGTCCGCATTCTTTGGTTTTACTCGTGACTTTTTGCCGCAGTCGCGACGATATTGGACCAACAAATACGTCGTTATCATTCTATAACTTCTACTAATCTGCTCATTTCTTTGCTTTTCTAGCATAAAGTATTACTACATGTTATGTTATATTATATGATGTTTCTGCGCTGAAGAGAGAAACTATTTTATTCCTTACATCCTTTATGATTCAGGCCCATGCAATTTCAAGTGAACACTGTCGCAGCATCAGCCGATCTCGCAAGGGTCAGCCGACCGGTATCTGAACATTTTACTAAGCCTCGGCCCCTTCCACACTAAGCAGGAAAAATTTGAAAGCGTAACGGAGTTTTCACTTTGAAAACGCATCAAATATTTTCACTCCACACTACGCCAGAGAAATTTGAAACGCAACAATCACCATTCGTTTTGGATTTGTGTTTGATTAAAGCTCACTCAGGGAAATCACATGATTATCGTGACGTCATCGTTTTCGGAAAACTCTGTCTCCTAAATGTCAGTTTCCGTTCACGCTAAAATGCAAAGCCAGCGTTTTCAAATTCCTCCGGTTTGAAGAGCGTTTTCGAAAAACTCCGTTTACGTGACGGGTTAGTGTGGACGGCAGGCCTAACCGTAGAAATTAAGCTGTGTTTTTAAGTTTCTCCGGCGTAGTGCGTAATTAAATTTCTATAACACAAAAAAATCGATGTCAGTTCACGGAAGCAGAGAGTAGTGTTAGAAATGGTGAAGACAAAGCCCTTCTCCTTGAGGGTGAAATACAGTATTTGTGAATTAAATTGTTTATATCCTGGTTTTCGCGTTTATGTATCAGTTAACTAGAAACTTCAACACAAAGAAAATCAAAGAAAAGATCTTGAGAACAAAGTCTAGTTAATAAGCAGAACAATGGATCTTCACGTGCACCTGCACCCTGCACCTCCAGGCTGCACTTTGTACATTTCGTGGCTGTNCCCCCCCCGGGGCATTAGACACTTTGAATTTTTGGTTGAGATTGTAAATTATTGTTATTATGCATATACGTGGTCAAGAGAACGTGGTATAAGGCAAAAAAGTAGCTTTGCTTATTACTGTTAGTTATGCAGACTCCAGGCTTTGAGGGTATCGCTTTCCACACGTCAAGGCAAGAGAATGGGAGCTTAAGCAATGACGACGGCGACGCCAAGGACGACGGCTGGAAAAAAAGGAACTTAAATTTTACCTTTAAATTTCGCAATTATCTAAAACTGTTTATTAAGCCGAGAGGTCTAAAACCCTACTCAAACTAAAGATGTAACGCAACTATCAATTCCAATCGAAAATATGAAAAAAAAAAAAAAAATTCGTCGTGGCTCACGTTCTTCATAATACGCAAACTTGGTCATTTCACGTTGTTGTGTTTAACAGAGGACGGCAAAGAAGTGCACAAACATTCATAACTCGCGTGTACAGTCATTGCTCTGCTCATCAAACCTTCTTCTTTGGTTCTTGTTGCCGCTGCCGTCGTGGTTTGCTCAAGTTCCCTATTTGTCTCAAAACAACGCCTTCGTGACATTCATCACGTTAAACTAAGCGTAATAACCTCAAAACATCGTGTTCACCTTAATTATTTCCCTCATTTGGCAGACATATTACCGTCCTTTATTCCAAGAAACACGGGAAACTTACTTTTCCTTGTTTAGTGAACACCAGGAAGTTAAAAAAAAGTTTTAACAAGTATAGCCGAGTACAAAAATAAACCGCTTAAACCATGATAAGGTGAGACTGTTACTTCATTTGAGCCATTTCTTACTTGTCCCGTTATTTTATTTTTGTTAATTGGTTGGCTACGATGATATTTCAGATAGCGCAGGCTGAACCTGACTGACAGATTAAAAAAATCAGCTGACTCCTTTTAAGAACCTTATAAAGTTAAGAGGTGTTTTTGTTCACCACAAGTCTAAACCATGCAACCACAGAGAATTGAACTTGCTATAACCTGAAAACACGAAAGTTCGAGAGAAGTTTTGGAAATGTTCAAGGTTCTTGAAGGTCCCGAAAAGTGTTCGCACCCGGAAAGCCATAGCAAAGTCTCAAACCTCATGATTAAAGAGCTGTTTATATTCTTAATATGAACAGAGGTTTAATTTCCTCCAAACAAGAAGTTTCAGGTGTATGCACTTCTCTGTTTTTAGATACAGACTAACTAAAAATGCCTTTGCGGGCCCGTAAAGTTTCCGAGGCTTTCGAGAAACGGGCCTCAGGCCTTACACCTTATGAGTAAAATGCCATTTGTGGAAATTGCCATACATTGGCTCTGCAATGTTTTCGCGTTTTCAGGCTCCAAAGTAACAGTGTGGACTCCGGATGACGAGCGATAAGGCTTTGAAAGTATATCACATTGTACGTGTTTACGTGATGGCAAGTGATCGCATGATAATCTCAAAACAACGTCTTGATTGCATTCATCAAATTAATTAAACCAAGGGTTAACCACACAACTGCGCCTTTGTCTTTATTTGCGTCATTTGGCAGACGTCCTGTGTGCCAAAAAAAAAAAAAAAAAAAANATTCAACACAGGGAAGTTGAAAACAGTGACAACGAGTACTTACCAAGTACAAAAATAAAATCGTCTAAACCTTGAGACTGTTACTCCAGTTGAGCTATTTCTTACTGTTCACGGTTTATATTTTTGTTTGTTGGCCACAATGATAGTTTAGATAACGCAGGAGAAAACTTGCTTATCTGCACGTCCTGAAACAAGGAAGTCAAACTACACCGGGCAGCGAAAGTCACGCGACCAAGAGACGGGCTGTCATAACACAACATAACATCTCGTTTGTGTCAATGACAAAGAAGGTGGCTTCCAAGTCTTCTTCCGAGCCAAAGGCTCATGGTAAGAAGACAAAGGCTCTATCATGGTTACGAGCAACGCATTAAGTTTCGTTCAGTTCTAAAAGATTCTGTATTCAGTCGAAATTATCCGAGACTGCAGCTTTTGACACAAATGAAGCCGATTAATCTAACCTATCCAAAAACACTAATCGGTCCTAATTTGTCTAAGAGTGAAGAGCTGAAATCTTTCACTTCAGTGACACTTCATTCGTGTAGTTGTGTAAATACATTTTTTTTTTTTATAAGAACCCTTTCTATAAGAACGTTGAGGCTGAGATTAACCAAAATTTTAGGAACGGATTAAGAACATTCCTCAGGCTGAGAGTCGCTTAATAACGTTTTTACTTTGCATAGTGGTATATTATATGACAAGCATAAAATAAAGGTAACAAAAAATGTAAATTAATCCGAATACTTCAGGGCATTAATACAATGAAATCAACCTTTGCTGTAAAACCATCCTGTGAAATCTACCTATTATAGCCTACTAAAGAGGTAGATCTCTCAAAGACATGCTCGTAAGAGCCACATTATGAGAGACACATATAATCAAATCACATCTATCATGCGGGGAGTCCGTGCTGGCCTGTCTTCATTATTTTCATACCATATGTAAATTTAAGAACATCTTAAGAACGTTTTCAGCCTCAAATCGAAAAAAATATATAAGAGCGTTCAGCCTCAGCTCAAAAATTAGACGTTCTTATATAATAAAAGAGTGTAAATCGCAATGATGCTCTAGCCTGTTCGAATGTAAACAGTAGCGCGAGCCGAAAGCAAATAGTGAATGTTTTTCTAACAATACTGCTTCGTTCTCCCACTGTTAGCGAATGTTTGTAGAAAACTATTTCCCGCTAAATTTGTTTGCTGAAATTTTATACTGTGCAAACTTAATATTTCTACTATAACAGAGGCGGCGGAGCGTTTTGAAACATGAGGGGACTCATCGTTAAGCCAATCGCATATCTCTACTCGATATTTTCCAAAATATGTCTTGCGTTGTTCGTTCGCACAAACAAACTTTTTTGCGATGTCTACAGTGTTCAATGTGTCTGTTATAGACTTATGACAATGCAGGATGAGGTAGTTGTTAAGGCGATCCTTCTTCATGGTGCTTCTAAGGAACACAGGTTGGAGCTTTTCAAAAAAACCCACAAAATATTATTTCGCCAAGCGCGAGCATGAAACGATTTGTGAAAAGATCACGGAACGGAATATTTTGTCGTACTAATTTTAAGCTGCGCTAGCGATATTTTTGGCACCGAAAGGTCGGGGGGAGGGGGGGAGAGGGGACTGAGCCCTCACAAATTTTCATTTGGGGGGCTATAGGTACAGGCCCCCGTGGCTATGAATAATTTGTAAGTCAGCTACGCGAAACAGCAGTCTCTCATACATTATTTCCTGTGCCTACATGTACTGAGTGAATGGCCGTATTTGTCAATGAAAACGAATAAAACGTCTATGACGAATAATGCATTCAAGAATTACCATGTGTCTGGGGTAACTGAACAAGGAAAATAAAACGCATTAAACGTTGTGCGAACTTAAACAAACAGACGTATTACACGTCTCAGTCATATAATGCCTCCAGGTAAATACGAGACGCAATGTTCAGACTTATGATAAAATTTGTAACCAAGCGACAACAGTTCAAAACTAACGACCAGTTAAAGCTCAGGAAATTCTGTAAATATTCCATTGAGTAGCTAACATACTCGCCTTCGTAAAGTGCTCCGA